GCCTACTTGCCTACTTGAGTGTTTTTCCGCTATCCCAAGGCCGCGGGGCCGCTAGGTTCGCCACTTGAGTGTTTTTCCCTGCTACAACCCTCAATGCCACGACCACAGGTAAGTACCGGCCCTACGGGCCTGCCAAACAAGCAAGTACCCTTGCGGGTCACACACACACTCGTACCAACAAGCACTCAGACAGGCACGCAGGTCACAAGCACGCCCACACGGACAGACTTAGAAAGCACAGCAGAATGCGGGAATCTCAGCAATGCATCCATTCCATCAGCAGAACTTCATAAATCAGCAATGTTCTCAGTCTGTGTTATGACGGGTCATTACACACTCCACTACCTCTCCCCTTCCTTCTGTGCATGTATGGGCGTGTACGGGAGTTCCTGTGAGTGAGCATTGATAAAATTTCAACGGACAATCATGTTCATAACAGTTGGTATCGGAGCAAATCGGACCCAAACAGTGGCGAGATGATGGACTGAGGCAGCCATCACTACCTGAGAGCTTCTGACGTTGGGTTTCATGTTGGAATCGCATCTTCAGTACTGCGCTCAGTAGGGTGTTGGTGAGGAGTGCGTGGCGGTTGGTATGACACAGAAATTGGTGGCGATTCAGTGCTCACTGGCCTGGAAGGCACCGAGGGGCTATTTTTAGCACAGACATTGACTCTCCTGGTGGCGAGATACATGGGGTAGGTCGAGTTTCATATTCTGGACCAGATACAGTGAATCTGATTAGTGGGGATTAATCGCCAAAGCAACAACTACAGTATCACCAAGTTTCACGAGATTTGGAACGTGGGAGCACGAGGAACAGTGAATTGAAGAAACTGGCAAAATGGGAGTCATAGCCAGTTCAGGTTCTTCTTCCAGTGTTTTGACCTGAAGTAAGTGTGTTCCTTACTCAAGTCCCTGTAGCGAGTCTGATAGTTGTGATTAGACTGAGAAAATCAAAACTATATGCTGTAGATAGTGAAACTTGAAAATCACACTGCCTGACAACCATAGCTATTTCCCCTACCTAGCTACTTTGACTTCTACTGACTCTGTTTGACCTCCTCTCTGTCTCAAATTGCATCTCTGACTGTACTACAGTATTGTGATTCAATACATATAGTGAATTGAGTAGTTCAGGGTCTGTACGTCAGTGATAATGAAATTATGAATGTTGTGTTGCCATAGCCAGTGCTCCAGTGCTTGAGGCAGCTAGGGTTTGTCATACCTTAGGTTCTGTCCGTCATAATTTCAGTCTGTCAGTCACCCTGAAATCGCAATTCAACATTGAGTCAATGTCTGAAAGCGCACTACTGGGTTTGATGATTTGAGTCAGGTATAGTGATATATGTACTCCGCCTCACCTATAGTGGGGCATACAGGGTCCTACAGTGCCAGTGACAGTAGTAGGAGCTTACAAGAATAGCTTGATCAGTCATTCGCTGCATCTTGGTTGACTACTGGGTTCTGTTAATCGCTACTGACTCTCTGCGCTATTCTGACCTTCTACATACAGTCCAAGGTTGCATCCTGTCTAACTATCTAACAGCGATTCTGGGGTTATTGCACTCAGATGAGGGTTTTGGGCTATGAATGAAAAATCGCAGGCTGGTTTTATCTGGAATTACCCTAAACTGACCCAGAACAGCCCTCAGCGGCCTACAGAGGCTGAGCTCTCTTCTGCCTAACTCACCAAGTCTCTTCTCATCAGGTGGCAATGATTACATCAATGGTTGTGTGCGTAATCTTAATCTCTGCTGACCTTGTATCTGTCTGTCTATATTTATCTGCCTGTGTGTGTGGTTCATTATGGTTGACGATGAGACAAAGGTTGAGGAAGGAGAACCTTTTGCTCACCCTCCCCCACTTCCTTTCTCCCCCTTGGAGCAGGCCCTGCTTGAAGCGGAGGAAAACCGCAGAAAGGTAGAGGCCCATGTCCAGCGGCTGAAGAAGGAGATGAAGGAAGTTGAGGAGGCTAGCAGGAAGGAGGAGAGGAGGAGACAGTTACGAAAGGAGGTTGAGAAAGTTGTTACCAGTGGTACCTCCACTCAGTATAGTAAGGATACTGCTGAGTTGGTGCTGTTAACAGACACCCTCAACAGGTCTTACTTTTCTAACTGGAATCAGCGGATTCTCGCTGTATAGAATCAATGCTCTGCCATCGACCGCAAGGTCGATAAGCTGACAGCAAGCCTTGATTCCCTGACAGCGAGTGTCAACAAGATTCTGCAACATTTGCAACTTCCTTTACCTTCTCCCAACCTCTTCAACCTGTCCCAGCATCCGTTTCACCATCCCACAGTCGACCAGCTTCACCTGCTGGTTCCCATGTGTCCGCTACCTCTGTTCCCTCGGGTACATCTGATCAGCGGCAGCCCAAGCTGACACCACCTCCAATGTATTCTGGGGAAGACCCCAAGGTGGATGTATCAGACTGGGTCACCGCTATGCAGGCGTACCTGGGCAGCTTTGTATGTCCAGAGGTGACAAAGGTAGGGACCATTATGAGTCGTCTGGAGAGGACTGCACTTAAGTGGTGCACCTCCTCTGCAGCGAAACAGAATCTGCCCATGGACAAATGGGCACAGCAGCTGGAGGTGGAGGGGTTGCTGCAGGCCCTACGGGACCGGTTTGCAGACAGGGAACAGGCCCGAAAAGCAGCAAATAAGATACTGCTGCTGGGCTCACGCAACTTTGAGGGTTCCCTGTCCAAGCTCTACAGTCTGTTTGAGAGCTTGACTGCTACACCTGGTTTGGAGATGAGCGAGTCTGACCAGCTCACTCACTTCCTGCGTGCAGCGCCTCCAGACTACTCCATTGCTCTCTACTCTCAGGGCCACAAGGACTGGAGGTCCTTTGGCAAAGCAGCCCTGAATGGTTCAGGAACCTTCTGAAGAAGGAGGAGACCCTCTTCCACGGGACAGCGCAGGAAGAAGGGTGTTGTATTGGTTGTTGATGCAGGTTCTGATTCTGATGCATCTCAGCGTGGCAATCCTCCATCTGAGACTGCATCAGTATCAGCAGTTGAGCCAGCCATTCTTGCCCTGGCTGAGAACCCTGCTGCCATGTTCAAAGGAAAGATGGGGAACAGTAGCAGCAAGGGCTCAGCCAGCCAGAAGGAAAAAGGGAAGGGACGTGCCTCTTCCCCTCAGGCCCAGAGAGCTAACCTACCACGAGACGTCCATTGGCCAGTCAACGTCATGGATCCTTCCACCCTTCCCTGGAGAGCGCTCAGGATCCAGGAAGGGCAATGGCAGAAAAGGAAGGAGCGTGAGGTTTGTTTTCACTGCGAAGGGGACCACTTCTTGAAAGACTGTCCCCACATGCCTCACAAACCTGGTTCTAGTTCAAAAAACTAGACCAGCAGAGGGAAGTGGAGTTAGCAGCTCCCTCCACTTGTGCTGATTCAGATTCTGACGAGTCTGAATCTGCATCTACCCTCACTGACTCTGTTGGAGTTGTTGAGTCAGGATCCTTCACTTACGTGGACCCTGACCTAGATGAGACGTGGTAGAAAGATGACAGTCAGACTTTTGCTGATTGTTTCTTGTCTTTGCAGGAAAAGAAAAAGCATAAATCAGACCTCATCTTGCTGCGACCCTCCATCCTGGGAGCCAGGATAAGGCCTTTTAGACTGTGGGGCTACAAGGAACTTCATCTCTCCCAAGGCTGTCAGCAAGCTGCACTTGGATGGGAGATTGGTGAAGTTACAACAGCCACTGGAAGTCTGTATTGGGGACTCTTCCACAGTCCGGATTACCTCTGCTGTCAAGAACCTACCGGTTATCTTTGACAAGCAGGAGAAGGTCAGGCAGCACCTGAACTTCTATGTTTTCCCTAACGTGCCTTTTGATCTTATGTTCTCCATGCAGTGGCTAGAGGCCACTAACCCTAGGATCGACCGGCAGATCCCCAAGGTAGAGCTCCCTGACTGTAGAGGGGACTATCAGCCTTGTGTGCTGGCTGATGAGTACCATCCAGTCAGCAGTTGCTATTGTATGAGAGCACATGAGTTTTTCCAGCTCTCTCGCCAGACTGCCCACACACGTCTGTTTGTTGCATATGTGAAACAGACTGGTGTGGATGCTGCTTTTTGTCCCCCACCAATTCATCAGGTTTTGGACCACTTTCCAAACCTGATGCAAAAGCCTACTGTACTTGTCCATAGGCAGACACGGCACAGGATTGAGCTCCTGCCAGTTGCGGTCCCTCCCAACCGCCATATCTACAGGATGTCCCCTGCTGAACTCGATGAGCTCAAGAGACAGCTTGAGACCCTGACCAGCAAGGGTTGGATCAGACCCAGCACATCTGAATTTGGGGCTCCAGTTCTCTTTGTTCCAAAGGGAAATGGAGAATTCAGGATGTGCGTCGACTACAGAGGTCTCAATAAGATCACTAGGAAGTCTACAGAGCCCCTTCCTAGGATTGATGATCTGCTGGATATGGTGCAGGGTTGCACAATCTTCAGCAAGATCGACCTCAAATCTGGCTACCACCAGATTGAGATGGTTGAAGGCAATGTCCACAAGACAGCCTTCGAGACCAGATACGGCACCTATGAGTACCTGATCATGCCTTTCGGTCTTTGCAATGCCCCTGACACATTCCAGACAGAGATGCATCGCATACTCAAGCCTTACCTGAACAGGTTTGTAGTTGTATACCTGAATGATATCCTAATATTCAGTCGATCTGTCGAGGAGCATGCGCAGCATCTGCTCTGGTTCTCCAGGCACTACATGAGGCCCAGTATAAGATCAACAGGGAAAAGTCCTCCTTTGGAGTGACTTCTGTGGCTTATCTGGGACATGTAATCTCTGGGGAAGGGCTAGCTCCTGAAGCAACCAAGGTTGCTGCGATTCAGGACTCGCCACAACCTACCACAGTGCGTGATGTCCGGTCATTCTTGGGCCTTGCATCACACTACAGAAAGTTCGTTAAGAATTTTTCTGCAATTGCTGCACCCCTGACTGATCTCACAAAGAAAGACACCCACTTTCTTTGGACATTAGACTGTCAGCAGGCTTTCACACGCCTCAATGAGGCCTTGATGCGTGCACCTGTTCTGAAGTTACCTGACCCTACCCTGCCCTTCGTACTAACTGCTGATGCTAGCCAGTATGGGGTTGGGGCAGTACTTCAGCAGGATGGTGGGCATGGTTTGCAGCCAGTTGAGTATATGAGTAAGAAGATTGAAGTAAAGAAGCTGCAGGATTCTACGTACGAGAAAAAATTGTATGCTCTAGTGTCAGCGCTAAAGCATTGGAAGCGTTTCCTTATAGGCAGACACTTTCAGATCTATTCAGAACACTCCACCTTACAGTGGATGAAGACCCAAGGGGAACTGAACGACAAGCTGGCACGCTATATTCAGTTCATTGATCTGTTTGACTTTGAACTGAAACACAAGAAGGGTTGCTACAACCGTGTAGCAGACGCCCTTTCTCGTAGGCCTAACGCTCTCTGCCTGATCTCCTCTACTCATACTTTTGGGGAGAGCACTCGTCAGACAATTGCCCAGTTATCGCCACAGGACCCGATTTTTGACCCGATTGTCAGGAATCGACAGACTGATCCTTCCTCTGAACCATAATACATTCTGGTTTCATATCAGTTGTACACTTGCAGCAAAGGAGAGGAACGTTTGTGCATCCCTCAGGACCGCCCGCTGAGAACACTCATTATGTCTGAGTGTCATGATGCTCGCGGCCACTTTGGGGCCTTGAAATCGTTGGCGGCCCTGTCGCACCGATTCTTCTAGCTGGAGATGAGGAAAGACCCGCTGCACTATGTTGAAACCTGTGAGTTGTGCCAAAGGAACAAGGTCGTTCGCCGACCTCCCCTTGGCCTGCTGCAGCCACTTCCCATCCCTGATGCACCAGCACAGTCAATGGTTTCACTGACCTGGGGAGGACCACTCCTCGCGGTATGCGTCAGGTCATGGTGTGTGTGGACAGGTTCTCCAAGTACGCAAAGTTTGTTCCTTTGCCAGAGGAAGCCAGAGTCCCGGCCGTGCAAGCGGCCTTTGCAGATAGGTGGGTTACTCATCATGGACCACCCACCTCTATTGTCAGCGCGTTTCTGCAGCAATGAGTGGCAGTCCTATTGCAAGGACTACCTCCCTCCAGATTGGATATGACATCTGGTTGTCATCCTGAAGCCAATGGGCAGGCTGAAGTGATGAACCAGATTCTTTTCCAGTTGCTCCGTCCTGTGATCAGCCCTGATTAGCAGGATTGGGATCTCCATCTAGGACAGGCACAGCTAGTGTACAACACATCTGTACACTCCTCCACAGGGTTCACCCCGTATCGGTTGCACTGGGGACGTGAGCCACGCCAGCCTCTCGATGACATCATCGATAAGGCTACCCCCAGACTGACTCCTGGGACTGCAGCGTTCACTAGACAATACGAGAGGGATATCGAACGAGCTAGAGTTAACCTGCTCAAAGCCCAAAAGGCTATGATCCAGCAGGCTAACAAGCATCATCGACCATCCCCCATCCGCGCTGGTGACTGGGTCTGGGTACTCAGTTCTGAGCTATCGCGAGAGGAGGACATTTCGCCCAAGTTGTTGCCACGTTACATGGGTCCATGGCAGGTTTTGGATATAGTGGGAGCTGACCCTTTTGGGCCATCTTATCACGTGGATGTCCCACTGCATCTACAAACCTACCCTGTCTTTCATGCATCCAAGCTGGTGCCGTTTGTCCCAGCTGATGCATTTCCAGACAGGCCTCCTCAATTTGGTCCCCCGATCCCTGGGAAGGGATATAAGGTGGAAAAAGTTGAGGATGAGTATGGTACAGGCTCGGATAAGGAGTACCTTGTGAAGTTTCTTTACCACCCCATTACTGAGGTTCGCTGATTTACTCGCAGGGAGCTTCTGAAAACAGCGAAGTCTATTATCCTCAAATATGAGGCTGCACAAAGGGGAGAACCCCTTCGACGCTCTGCACGCCTACGCCCCTAGCTCGAAGGTCCTCGCTCCGTGGGAGGGTAGGTCTGCAATGACTTGCTGGTTCCAGGTTGCCTGTAGCCTCTCTCAGACGAGGCTCTACCATAGGTAGGGACAAATTCATAATTTTGTTTGGCTGAGGGCTAACCAAGAGACCTACCTGTAAGGAAAATTTGTGAGGGACATATTTGTAAATATAGGGATATGGGCCCAATACTAACTCGAATTTCCTACAGTTACCCTAACTGCGAATAGCAGACCCGAGCTACCCCTAGGACAGACAGGCCCAATGGGCCTACGCTGATAGACGGTCCTCTAGCCTATAGCCGGGTAGGGAGAGGCCCTAGAGGCCGAAACAGAAACGGTACCGGACGGTCAGTCAGTCCGGTCTAGGTCGTGTCTAGGCTAGTCTAGGGTATAGATAGGATGGGGACATCGGTCCTGGGCTTTTGGCAGTTGACACTTCGTGGTGGAAGTTGCTGCGCACACGGTATCAGGTCGTGGTTGCTGATTCCGGTGTGGGAGACGGCGGACATAGCCAGACCTTCGGAGCGCTGACTAGACTGGTCAACGCTGTCCACTCTAACTCTCTGGGAGTCAAAGCGGTCTGGGCTATCAGAGGTCTGATGTGTTGGAGCACGTGGTCCACTGCTGACCCTCCTCAGGAGTAGGGTCCCAGTGGCGATGCAGCCATAGCTGCATCTTCTCCGAGGATATCATTGTCTGGACTTCATCTTCATCAAGGACGGTTGGCGTTGAGCTTCTTCTTCATCATCTGGGGGGGCGATTGGCTCTGGGAGCCTATTTCATCTTGGCGCAGGCCATTGAGTTGGATGTCAGGGTGGCGCTGGGTGTTACCTGGGGTTCTTGCGCTATTTTTAGCTGCTCGGTGTGTGGGGGGTTGAGGCGCTACCCCTCTGAGGATAGCGCAACAGGGACCTGAGGTTATTTAGGGAAAGCGGTGCTCTGAGTTTAATAAACCGTTGTAATATTGTGTTTGAGTTGTCATCTCTTCATTGATTTCTGGCTGTGATCACTCGGTTGTCTTCTACGAATGATTGTTGGGACTTGTGTGGGGAGGATCCACAGTTTTGTGTGTTCTGTCACCTCGCTCCTCTGAGTCTTCCGCTGCGTTCCTTTTGTTGGGCGGTGTGACACTCTACTACCTCTCACCTTCCTTCTGTGCATGTATGGCCGTTTACGGAAGTTCCTGTGAGTGAGCGTTGATAAAATTTCAACGGACAATCATGTTCATAACATAAAGCTTTGCTAAGAGATCAAAGAACTGTCCGCAACTTGTTGAGGAGCAACATCGTCAAATGGCAATTCTTGAGACCCAGCAGTGTCTTCGGTCGTCTAAAAATCCCGAAGTAACTGCAAGCACTGTCTTCAGTCTTGAACTCTAAGAAAAGTAGCAAAAAGTGGGGGTAGCGGAGAAACAGAAAAAAAGAAACCGACTCCAATGAACCACTTGTATGCACACTCCAATCACATGCACCATGACAGTTCACAGAAATTCGCTTGGAAGTCCAAAGACGGAGAGACCAGATTAGCGCAGCTTGGAAATCCTCAATGAATGTAACTTGGTTCATCCCTCATGTAACCCTCCCTCTCTCTCTTCTCTCTCTCTCTCTCTCTCTCACAACCTTATATCACACAACCTCACTGTCTCCCTCTCTCTCTCACCCTGAATGCTCAACCTCTTCTACAACGAGGATGATACCCTGGATGCATCCACCTTCCTACTTACACATTACTACTACTACTACCGTGGCTTCCTGGCACTCTGTCAACTCACGATAGCACACAAGCATCCAACAACGCTTCCACCTTCTCACAAGTAAACGATCCGTTTGGATGGCGCTGGGCCAGTTCTTTTGTGTTGACTTCAATGCCACTGCTTAACTTGGTCTCGGCCTGACTTGACTGGTACAGGTCACCCCCGGCCTGTTTGCAGTTTGGAAAGTTGAGGCCCAGTACCTTCCGTATTATTCTTGGAGTGCTGCTGCGTTTTTGACTCTAGGACTTAACAGGCCGGGTACCAATTGCAATTGACCTTTGCGGCCTGTGGGGCACCCGACACGACCTTTTTCTGTTTTGGCCACTTCGGCCTTTTTTTACTTGGGCACCTTGACCCTGAGACTCGGATTTGGGGTCTGCAAAGTGAAACTCCTTTCACTCATATTGGCCTGATTTCGAGGTCCTCCGAGAAAGTTACCTACTTTACCGATTTACCATATTTACGCCTTTGTGTAGCCGCTCATAATAGGAACCTATATGCGGGGCAGTTTCCATTAACTCATCTCTAGTGAACTAACGATCTTCTTCAGGCTCTTGGTAAGCAAATCTGACTTTGTACTGTCGCTGGGGCCTCCCTCTTCGTCCAAACCTGTAGGCATCTTCTGGAACTATGTGATCTGAAGTCCATGTTTGGAGGTATCATAGATCTTCTTAATTTGAACTGAGTACTAGTCACACAGGGAAGCAACTTAAGAGGCATGGAAAACTGGATAGGTATGTAGATGCAGTGGTATCTCAACGACATAGGAAGGACCATCTACATCATCAATGACATCAATAATCTGCCACAAACCCCTATATGCAGGTAATAATTTCAACAATATATTTTCCTCTGGGAGAAATTATTTCAACTTCACCCAAACTAAATAACCTACAACAAACTGCAAAGGTATGAGATGCTTATTGCTTGCTCAACCATTTGATGTTGGGCCTTCACTATATTCTCCATAACTCGTGCAAGTCTTTCTCATATTGTACAGCGAACTTGCTTGTTCCTAGAGGCAATCTTTGGACTTGGTCAAGGTTCAGAGTCTGCAGGTCGCTGTGGACTCTTATGCAGCTCATTAGGAGTCCTTGTTGTGACAAGGTGCACAAAGTTCTTATAGGCACTGGCCACCCTGGGAAGATGCTCATCCCCGTAAATCTAATCAGGTCTAATATACATACCCAGTACTTCCTGGACCAGTTTGTTCCTTTGCTCAGTCTGACCATTAGTCTCAGGATGCATGTCTGACAATATAGTTAGTTTAGACCCACACACTTTCATTAGCTGTTGAAAGTGCTCGCTTGTAAATCATGTGACTTGTCTCATACAATAGTCGAGGGATGATAACTCTCTGATTACCAGGTCAGTCTTTGCCTTTGAAGGGAGAAGAACGAAAACAATATATTTACTGAACCTGTCTACAATTACCATCACTTGACTTTTCCAATTCCTACTCTTAACTTTGGACACGGAGTCTCCGGGGCCTGGCGAAATAGGTAACAGTTTCATAAGTCCAAGGGGAGGCTGCGTGGAACTTTTGTTCCTTTGACAAACCTTACAGCCCTGAATGCAGGCTACACAATCGTGCTTCATTCCGACACATGCTTACAATCAAAAGAGATTGGCATATGTTTTTCTCCAACCGAAATGTCCCTCTGCATCATGTCATTCCCCCAGGATTGGACTGTGAATTTCTTCATTATTCGGGATGCACAATCTGTCGTGCACGTCAGTTTTCTGAAATAGTAACCAGTGGGTCACTCTATTGTCTGGTACTTCACGTGCTGTTCTTCACACCTTTTCAATCAACTTACTATATATCAGATCATCATCGTAGGCAGTCCTAATCTTTTGTTCCAGATCGGTGCCAGCAGCAAGGTATGGCACTAAAGAAATTTGCTCGCCTACTCAAAGCACCGGCGACTACGTTATACCGTCCCTTTCCTATTTTTTTTAAAGTCAAATTGATCGATTTCACCACCTGGGTCTTCAACTAGCGAAGTGTCTCATGGTCAGAGTAGAGTTTAAAATGTCGTCCTATGAGGTAGTGTTGCCAATGATTTATTGCCTCCCAACTCACACTCGAAAGTTTCTCACGAACTTCCTTTAATAGTTGGCCATTCCAAAGAACGACCTCAACTCTGTGAGTGTACAAGTGGGCTAGTCTCTGATCGGCGAGATCTTACTGTCCTCAGGTTTGACACCATCACCATCTAAAACGTGGCCCAAGTACAAGATCTCTGTCTTGGCCCACTCACACTTCTTTGTGATGATCTTGAAGTTTGCCTCACGCAACTTTTCCAAGATCTGCCTCATATGAGCCTCGTGCTCCTGGAAGGTCTTGCTAAAAATCAAAATATCATCCTAACAGACGCACAAATGGTTAACGGGGACCTCCATTTTCAGCTCCCGACTAACGGGTCCAAAACTGAAATTAGGGTTTTGGGGTCAAATTTTTGGTTTTTTGTTTTTTTTGTTTTTTTGCCTGTTTTTGTTTTGATTTAAGGTTGTTGTCTGCCAAATTTGGTATTATTTGGGTTATTAGAATTTGTGTTGTTGGGAGGCCTGAAAATCCTGAAATTTGGATGACGTGTTTCATGCCAAAATTGCCTGAAAATGCACTTTTGGGTTGCTGTTTTATGTGTTTTTTTTTTTTTTTTTTTGGTTTTTGTTTTTTAATATGTTAGTAAGAAGTGCACTCTATACATTGGTGTGGAGTTTGCTTGAAATAACCTTATGGTTTTCTTATAAATTGACCTGAAAAATGGGGGGTCGGTTAACCTTCTCTCAACAGACGACTACGAATCTATCTAACCACGGCCTAAACAAATAATTCATACAACGCTGGAAAGTGGTCGGCGCGTTGGTTAGTCCGAAGGGCATGACTATAAACTTATAGTGCCCGTATCTACTCTTGAACACCATTTTATACTGGTTGTCAAGGTGAACCTCAATCTGATGGTGCACTGACTTCAAATCTATCTTTATGAAGTACTTCCAGCCCTGCACCAGATCCAACAGATCATCTATACGGGGCCTTGGTTCTGCATTCTTGACCTTAATGGCGTTAAGACCCCTATAGTCAATGCACATTCTAAGCTCTCCCTCTTTCTTTGGGACAAAGAGAACAGGTGCTCCAAATGGAGACGAGCTGGGCCTAATCCAACCCTTCTTTAGGAGATCGTTTAACTGCTTGCGCAACTCCTCTAATTCCTTGGGAGACATTTTATAGACTGCTCCTTTAGGAGTCTTACTGCCAGGCTCTATCTCAATACGATGTTGGATGGGACGCGGTACTACTCCTGAAGGAGCCTCTAACAAATCTGTGTACTCTTCCAGCAGCTTGGCAATAATGGAGTTAGTTGGCTCCTCTTTCTTAAGGCTCAGTAACAGGCCTAACATAGGCTACAAAAACCTGCTCTTCTAGCTGTTTCTTTTA